TTTCTGCGAAATACAGGAAAAAGTTTCTATTGAAGACATCCTTACAGTTCATTAAATCTGATTTTGATACTCTTGGAGTTTTGCTAAAACAGTGTAAAATATCAAATGAGTAGGAAACTGGATGGAACCAAAAGGTCCGTGCATTGTATGTGGGGATTTGTTATAAGCGAGTTTCATTATAGCAGGGTTCAACTGTTTGTATAGATATTAGAAAAGACAGCTTGTTAAAATTTTCTTATGAAAAGTTGCCAGTATGTTGGAAAATGCAAATTTACAGGCATCGGTGTCAAATTATCTTTCTGAAATGCTAAAACTCAAATTTTTTTAATTTATTGAAATTCAGTTTTGTGTTACTCCTAAAAATGATCCTTTTTCTTCAGGTGAAATTGGCTTAGTAATATAATTTTTGACAATCTTTATTTTGAGAATCGATGTTGCATATTATTGCTCACTTTTCTTTTCTAAAATATCTGTAATAGAATAAGGAACAATTTACTCATCCTCATTTTCTTCTTACAAGAGCTGTCTATAAATTCAAATTTTGTCAATTTTACTAAAAACTGTGTGACCAAAATTGTGGTGTCCTGAAAGCTTGCCTTATTCGATAAATTTTGTGAACTGGAACTATGTGTTGACAAGCAGAAGCCTTTCTTATGGAATGAAGTAGTTGGGGTGTTAGTATTTCATAGCCAGCTGCTTAAAAAACAAAAAAGTATTTTCAGTCTTGGTGCTGTGAATTTTCTCCTGATCCTACCTTGAAATTTGTGTGCTACAATATACCACTGTGTACTCTGTAGTTTGTGACCTTAGGTAAATTTATTAATGATTGCAGACACCTGAGCAAAAATAACCCTGTCTCATATCTAGCATCATAAATGTATTATGTTTAATGATGCTAGACACCATATAGCAGTATGAACATAAATGTGGAGAAAACTTTAGTGATATGCATTGTATATATCAGAGAATTGTGCTATAAGGAAAACATGAAATATATATGTTTCATCAGTGAGAATATGCATAGCTGTGGTCATCAGATTTATGCAACTGTGTAGTTTATAAGTTTGTGAAAATAATTTAAATTTATTGATTCATTGTAATGTAAAAATAAATTTTATGTTTGTAATTTTTGGTATATTTAGAAATTCTGTTTGTGTGGTAATTTATGCCATATTATACATGAAATGGGCAATTAATATAATGCATTTAACTGCCTTTTATAAGTAATTTCAAATTTAAAGTTCTTAAAATAGAATTATCTTAATTTTAGCTTATGAGCTCAAAAATTCAGCTACTGAGAAGAGGGAAAGTTTAAATCATATTATTTAATATTCGTAAACATAAAGTAGCTGATTATGGTTCTAGGAAGTGCAGTAGGTGTGTCTGTATTTGATGTTTTATATTATGGCTCAACTATATATGTGCTTGTTAAGATCAGTGGTGTACCTACATAAAATGGCACCCATGACAAGAATTTAAATTGTATCCTTTTTAAAATATTTAAAATTATGTTTAACTATTTTTGATTATTTTCAGAAACATGAGTGCACCAAATTGTGCCCTCTGCTGGTCATGCCGTGCCTACCATAATGTACATAATGTAGATATACCACTGGTTTAGTTAGAATTATTTGTAATCGATGAACAATGAAGGGTATTTGCCATAGGAATGGTGGCTTTGCAAAGGATTTTCTGTAGGAAACCAGTTTGTTTTCATGTTATGTATGAAGTTAACCTGAAAACACCCCATGTATCCAAACTTAGTATTGAGTTGTGACAAATCTCTTAACCTCTTTTGGACCCACTAATGGTCAAGTGGATAAGACTGCTAAACACTGGTAGTTCAATCTACATTCATATTCTGCTGAATGGCCTAACTACATAGGATCTTAATGGGTTTTTTGTTTTCCTCGTGTGTAACATTAATGTGAGGCAGTTTTCCTTTGAAAATTCTGTATGAACGCACTCTCTGGGGAAGATTGCCGTGATGTGAATTGTCATATTCAATTAAACAAACTCCCACACTTTTGGCATGCAAATTTAAATTGCATAAGAAAGTCAGCTTAATTTTTATTTAGATTTGGCAACAATCTAAGTTTTTAAAAAAATTTTTCTATTATTTTTATACACAGAATATGCTTAAATTTTTTAACAGCATTGTGCTATAGTCTTACTATATTTGCTTGTAGCTCAAGCAGTTCAAGCATGTGGTAGATGACTTGACTTTCTTTTTGGCTATTACTGTAGAAACTGCTATCATGGTCAGAGTCGTAGACAGGGTTTTCAGCACCTCGGAGACAGTTTAAAATTTCACACCCCCTCATGTTTGCTAAGAATGAAAAATATTTAATTCTAAAATTTCGTAACATTAGTTTGACTTGAATGAATTCTGTGTTCAGGGACAGATGTCCCCTCTTGCCTCCCTCTAGCTACGCCCCTGATCATGGTAAATAAAATTTTGAAGGTTGTACCATTGTCATTGCTCCAGAATTAGCATGATATCATCACCAAATAGTTCCACTTTCGAATCTTTGTAATTAACTATAATGGAATAGTAAGCAGTTCATACAGGAGATAGATACATTTAGGAGAATTTGCAAGAAAAATAAATCGTGCTGCATAAATATACATGTCAGCTCACTGGAGGCATTTTTTATATACCTTCTGTAACACTATATCCTCAATGGCACATCAAAATGATGTCCGAAAATAACAAGAACAAAAAAATCAGAGGGGACATCACATCATGATAGTTAATTGTTTAGGAATTGGTAGAAATCCAGGATAAAGAGGTAATCAATAGTAAAAACACAAAATCAAGTACAGAAGATGAAAGAAAAGTGAAAAATACTTACAAGTTGTAAATGTACAGTACCAAATAGATTCTGAGAAGGCAAGTAGCGTAAGGTTTAGGAATGCAGTCATCCTCCAACATATCAAAGTTTTCTAAGAAGGGGGACAAATTGCAATTGACAACATTGTGCTAGGGATTAAGAGTTGAATTTGTTAAAATAGTCTTTTACGACTAAGAATTTCAGATCCTTATGTATGAAATCGCTCTTACTGAAACCAGGGAACATTTAAAAATCTTTCGGTAGATCTTCTTTTGCAGCTTTTGAAAATTATTTCGGGTAGATTTGTGCCAGGAAGGAGGTGCCAGGAAGGAGGTCTTTATAATGGCTTTGATATATACATTGCAATATAGTACCCTTTTTGAGTGAAATGTCCAATGCAGAGTCTCTTTTCGAAGAAGAAAAAGATGAAAGAATGATCCTATAGCTTTATTGACAACATTGTTAAATGATTTTTCCATGTTAACCTGGAATTAGTGGTGACTTCAAAGTAAATAGATCAGGGAACCCTGGGGATCTTTTAGCTGAAGAGTGTAACCTCACAGGTAACTTTCTGTTTCCTATCCATGCCTTTTAATGTAGATTTTCCAGCATTTATGGAAATCATCATAGTGTATACCACTATGTGAGATGTTTTCTGCTGTATATTTGCTTATGTTATATTGAAATTTAGGATGCTAATAATAACTGGTTCACACAGCATACCATGTTACAGTTCCTTTTCCTAAAAATAGGAATATCATAAAGTATAATAAATACAGAATTGATCCATGGATGGACACCTGAGTAATTCTCTCAGCACAATAAGTCTTTAGATGGAATTTCCAAACTGAACACTTCTAGTCCTTTCTTTAAGATTTTGAGTATTCAATTTATGAGTAAAATTGCTTCTCAGTTGAAGTCCAGTTAATTAATTTGTAAATGAGGCCATTTAGGACTCTGTCAAAAGCATCAGGAATGTAACCATCTGCTATTTGTGAAGAGCAGAATTGACAAATTTAATAATGCAAACCAGTTTCATGCACTTCATATTTATTTGCTGAAACCAAATTGTGCATCAGATCTTAAATAATTCTTTCCATTGTTTTGCCTTGAATGGAAAGCAGGCTGATTGGTCCTTAGTTTTCCAGTGCACCGAAGTCCTTCTTGGGAATGAGAATAGCAGAGGTGTATTTACAAAAGAAGTAAAAATATAATTAAGATACAATAACACGCCAAGCAAATATTAATTTAGAAGTCAAACAACAAAAATCAGCGTTATATTTTCAAATTTTCATGGAAAATATAACGCTGATATTTGTTGTTTGACTTCTAAATTAATATAAGGGAAAATATAACACATACTGTAAAACCATATAAGCATGACTCCTGCAACCAAAGAAGGTTCCATGTATAAAGTTCTAAATCTGGATTTTAGATCATCAATTTAAATCTAGTAAGATATGTAGAAATTGTGAAATTAAAAATATGAAATTAGTTGTTTATGAAGTTGTTATTTTTGAAGCATTTTATGACCTTACAAAAATCAAAATTTACAAAAAAAAAAAAAAAAAAAAAAAATTTTTTTCTTTCTTAAACACTTTTTCAGTGTAATTTGTTAAAGTTTTGCTCTCTTTTTTGTGCTAATACTTTCTCATTAATTTTTATAGATAAACATGATTTATTTTTCAGTTATAAGATTTCATTAGTCAAGCCACGTAATTGCCATGTCAAAAATTCTGACTGGATTGTGAATGAATTTTTTTTTTTTATTCGAAACAAACCTTCTGTCATTTTCTTTACTCTTGGTAGCAATATTTTCTGAATTCACATCCACGTCCTTTTGAATGACACATTCAGAATTAATTTCTTTGTGTGATTCTGTGTGCTACAAGTAGATAAATTAAAGATCATTTTCTGATCATTTTTGGAAAAAATATTCTTTCAGACAAACACTTTCATAACATAATTATTAACTGAACACATTTTTTTTTCAGTTTTGATTACTTTTTACAAAAATGTATGTAGTTTTCTTTTTTTTAATCTATGCCTATGTTTAGCCATGATTTTAAAGTTGCAGTATTTTATGAAAAAGTTCTGTTTGTATAATATTGTTTGATTAGAGAGTTCAGCACTTTCCTAATATATGCATATTTTCTATTGTTTCAGGTATATTCATGATGGTTCTGAATCATTCAAAGATAATTTTAAGATTGGTGTCAATGATGGTCTCCATTTTGTTTCGGGTGATGTATTAGTTTCAGTTGAACCTATTGATGATGAAAAACCAATTTGGAAAAAAGGTTTACTTCCACGGATTTCTTTAAATGAAGGAGGATCTATTCAGATAACATCTGAGGTATATATATATATTTTAAAGTAAGGTATAACTCTCACAACTTATTGCAATATGTGATTTGTTAATTTTTTAACTTTGAATGACATAGAACATAAATGGACACATTTTTTATTGTGCATTTTAGTTATACAGTTCCATTGTTTGCTTAAGGATATAATCGTATGCGTCTGAGTATCCACTGATAATTTGTCAATTTAAATGTTTTATCGATTCATTCTGTTATTTCACTTTTCTATGCATTTATTATGGTAACATAACATAGATTCAAGACATGGGCTACCTCAGTTGTCACCCCTTCAGTCAGTTTCTGCTTTTAAAAATTAAAAATTTCATTTGTTATTAATTTAAAAAAATGTATTTGTCTAT